CATGCCTGCATGCCTGCATGCATGCATGCATGCATGCATGCATGCATGGAAGGATGGATGGATGGATGGATGGATGGATGGATGGATGGATGGATGGATGGATGGATGGATGGATGGATGGATGGATCTATCTGTATACATACGCACACACTTCCTGTTCTAACTATGTAGTTGAATTTGTTTCGGCATTTATGGGTGTTTGTATGGCAGCTTGTTTGTTTTATTTTGTTTTTGACGTATCTGTCTCTACTGTCTGACAGCAAGTGTGCTTATGCTTATTGCATTCATCTACATTTACTTATGTGCTGTGCGTAGAACTACTTCTCCAGATTCCTATTCCTGTACATGCTTCTTTGCCCCCAATGATGTGCATGTGTGCATAGAGGTAGATATGTGTGTATGTATGCATATATATATATATACGGAGGCGAAACATGTACTTGCATCTAGGCATTTGTTTGAACAAAAGGCTGTATGCAAACTTGTGTGTGTGCATGTGTATATATATATATATATTATCTCACTCTCTCTCTCTCTCTCTGTCTCCCCCTCTCTATCTATCACTCTCTCTGTCCTTCGTTCATGCAGGTATGCGATGGCTTTCTGAAAGATATATAGGTAGGGAGAGATTCGCACGTAAGGATATGTGCGTCTGTACCGAGAGAAGAGTACATCGGCAAATATGACCGGTAGATCAACAGATGGAAATAGGACGACAGAGAGACAGAGAGATAGAGGGATAGTTCAGACATCCCATGTGTATACACATTTACATACCTACATCTATATGTATACATAAGTATATTTACATATACATATGCATATACATGTACACATACATATACATATTCATACACTTTTGTGTTCACAAAGAGACATGTGCATACACAAATGCATACATGAGTAGTAAAACTGCTAATGCATGTATCCATGCATATATGTAATTGAATACCATTTTTACAAATGTGTAAATGGGTGTATGCGCAAAAATACATGTCGAGCATGTGTGTATATATGTCTATACTTACATTTACAGGTGTGCATGTGCATACATCGACGTACAAAAATGTATATGCAGAGGTGATGACTAAGGATCTACCTCAATATGCACGGAAGCATCTACACACATGTACATGCACGTTTGTATATATGTGGACACTTAATAGCTTGTGTATTCTCTTGGACTAGATAAATGTATGTATGTATGTATGTATGTATGTATGTATGTATGTATGTATGTATGTATGCGTGTGTATATACAAGAATTATATATATATATATATGTATGTATATGTATATACAATATGCATGCATGTACATGCAGGCAGACAGTGCTTTCGCTTTGCTCTGCTGCCTAGTTTCCTTTCTGGATTTCCATACTTCTCTCCGCACACATCGGCAAATGTGCACATGCACATGTGTAGAGGTATATGTCTGTAGATATACACACGAATATGTATATGCATACAACCCACAAGTACGGGACCTGCATGACTGGCAAAAGTAATCGCCAGGGATCCCTGTTGGACCCTGGTCTAAGTATTCAGGTCTCTCAGTCGTCTATACAGAGACATGTTTCGTGGCATCGTCAATTTGGAGCTTGGCATCCGGCTCCAACACCCAAGACTTTGCCGAAGGAGAAGACCTGGGTGGTAGTTTTGGGGCCCTCTAACAGTATTTATGAACAGGCACCTCTCTAGAAACCATAAAAGAAATCTTAAAGCTTCTCAAAGTGCCACCTAGAGACTCGCATCTTCCTTCGGGCTCCCTTGGACTCGAGCCCGGCTGCGCGGATCCGGCACCAAGAGCCAAAACCGTGAGAACACGGCGCAGCAATGAAACCAGTTATAGTTCTACCTGGCTACCGAACAGGTTTTTGGTAGAAGAGACTTCTGTACTCATGGCAGTGGCAATAACATCTATCTAGTAGCATCACTGTACAGTATTGCTGCTGCTGTTGCTGCTACTACGACGACTACGACGACGACTATGACGGGTGCTGCTACTCCTGCTACTACTGCGGCTACTAATACCCCTACTGCCACTGCCACTGCCACTGCCGCTGCTCCTACTACTACTACTACTACTACTACTCCTACTACTCCAACTGCTTCTCATTGCCGCTATCACCGGGTACTGCTACTCCTACTCCTGCTGCCTGCCAGTATGATGCGAACGAACGCTCGCAATGCCCACTGCTGTCAATGTATGCAAGCTCTATCATTGGCATTGAATACCCTAAACCCTAAACCCTAAACCCTACTGTACTAGTCACTAGGACTGAGGAATCAGTAGTACTGGTGTTTTTTGATATGATTCACTCGGCACCAACATTGCACCTACCGAGGCCTGCTAGAAACTTAACCCGAAACCGCAAAAACATCCTATAACACTACCGAGAACAACAAAGCCCCTCTAGAAACAAAGAAAAAACACCTTTAATATCATGACCATAATCGTAACAGTAGATCTTTGTCGTCATAACCATAAACATGATAGTAGATCTTGAAGATCCTAATCATAACCCATAATCACAAAAGTAACTAAAACATGGGCTCCGGGCGTGCATCTCCCGTTCCTCGGGCTGCTCGTTGCGATCCTCGTTCCGCGAGAACTTCGCGAGCCGATGCCAGGCAGTGGCCAAGTTCACCGGAGTCCTCTTGAGGCGTTGGGTTTAGGGTTTAGGGCTTAGGGCTTAGGACTTCGGGAGTTTAGGGTGTAGGGCTTCGGACTTCGGGAGTTTAGGGTTTAGGACTTAGGACTTCGTGATTCACATTCATAGCTTAAGGCTTCGAGGGTGCACGTAGGGTTTCGGGGTCCTGATAAGTATTCAGAGGCTGCAGAGCTTATGTAGGGCTTATACAGCATGCTATGAGGTGTGGATGACCTAACCTCCGGATCTTAATAACTAGAACAGGGTTTTGGTGCATATCATATTGTGACTCTGTAGGGGCTGCAAAAGGAATAGTACACTGATCATTCAGATCCCTTATAGTATCTTAAGGTGCGGCTCGTGTTCCCACCGGGTCCTTTGGGAGCTTCCGACATGCTCCTAGAATGATTCGTGGGTATGTATGGAACGTGCCTTGGACTCCAGGGTACACCTTCAATCTTCGGGGTCTACGCTAGCATGCTTCACGGTTTACACAATGTAGGATACACGTTTATAGATGGCAAACGGGGTTTAGGGTTTATTTGGGGCGCAGGGCTTTAGGGTCTGGAGCTTAAGGCCTTCAGGTTAAGGGGCCTTCTTTTGGGGCGAAAGCGTTAAGCATCAGCCTTCAAGGCTCCGGGAGAAAAAGCGTGAGAGCCGACTGCAGAGCATGTACTGTAGAAGCTTTCATATTTAGAATAGGGTGTATTATAGCAGAAGGAACCCTTAGGAATAAAGAGGCTTCTAGAATCCTAACCCCTAAACCCTAAACCCAAAACCGTCATAACGATGGACAAACCTGAACTTTCCTGAACCCTAATTCCTAAACCCTAAACCGTCATAGCGGTGGACAAATCTGACCTGTCTTGCATCAAAGCGACCACCTCTCCATGTCTCCTGCGTCCAGGAGGTACAAGAGTCCTCAGCTCGCATGAGGGGTATAGGTCTCAGGCTTTCGGCTATAAGGGCATCGGGTTTAAGAGTGTTTTGGGTTTGTGTGTTCCGATTCCGGACAAAGTCTTGCACTGATGAATATGAGGCCTTATAAGACCTAGAACGGAGCTGCGGGGTATTGTGTAGTATATTTGCATAACGGACTATAAGGTGCGATAGCATCACTGGGGTATCGTGACTTATACTTATAGAAGCAGACTATAACGGAATATTGTTTCCAGGACATCTTAAAGTAGACTTTTTCAGACGGACTAATAAAGGGATACTACTACGAACTATTCCGAACCCCATTCCGGCCAGGCTGCTCTGGATAGACTGGCTCTTGACCAAGCTGATCTGAATGCGCTTGGGATCCTGCGACTCCTGAGGGAGCGTCAGAATGGGGTTGAGGGTTTAGGGCTTAGTGTTTTAGGGTTTTGGGATTTTCAGATTGGGTTTAGGGTTCTTAGAATTTAGGGACCAAAAGCCATAGAATACTGATGATCTTACTGAAGGAAGGGTGCAAGGGTCCTCCTCAGGCAGAAGCTGAGTCCGCCATTTGCTGCCCGGGCTGTGGTCGAATCGCGGATCTCTGCGCAACTCTCCTTAAGTGATGCCAGGCTGTAGGTAGGGGTCAGTGTGATGAGTCGAAGGTTGGGGGCTTGGGTTTCGGGACTCCTTCCGTGACGACGGCTTGTATAGCAGTAGTAGCAGTAGCAGTCGCGGTTGCAGTTGCAGAGGCACTGGCAGTGGCAGCGGCACCGGCAAACCCCAAACCTTGAACCCGGTTTGGGATTTAGGGTTCCTGCTTGCATCTCAGGCTCTCCATGTTTTCGCTTCCGGCAGCTGGTCCTGTGCGCGGGTCGGGGCGCAAGCAGCTTTGGAAAGGTCTTGCGAGCTCACATGTCGGGGGCCCCGCAAGGTGTTTTCGTGGTGCCGGATGTCACACAGCAGTGTTGCGTGACTTCCGAAGTCTCTACGTCTACAGTCTCTACAGGACGTGCATGAGCAGAACACCCAAGAGGCTCGGTATCATGGTGATCCAGTGGCTGTTCGAGAGCGACCCGGCGGAGCACCGTGTCACGTCATAGCAGGTGCCGTCCTGAAAGCAGGACTGTTGTTAGGGTTTGTGGTCTAGGTATAGATAGGTTTAGGGTACCGGGCCGTGAAGGATTGCAAGAAAGGTGGTAGACAAGGAATCCTTGACATCAGCAGCTGGCTACGGCTACTACTAACAGTAAGTGAAAGTGCACTCAGTCCTGCGGGCAAAGTGTGCTAGCGGGCTCCGGGACAGCCTCTGAAACGAAGCCGAGATGGATGTTGCCTTCTTGATTCAGGGTGCCTTTGCAAACTCCGCCCTCAACAACTAGGTTGCAAAGGAAGAAGGTCCCGGTTGAATTGACGTCTGGTGGGTCCACACCGCAGGCGCTTCTGGCGCTGAAGCCACCCACCACAATCTCGCTGCAGTTTGAGATCGAACCCTTCGTGAAGGTCACATTGCGGACAAGGACGAGGTAACCCGTCAATGACGGCACACAAAGTCCCGATGCGTTGAAAAGGGCTGCATCTTCCGCTTTGTATTGCTGATCAGCAGAAAGGCTGCCACAACCACTCAAACCATCGGCAGCCCCGAAAACTACGTAAGAAGCTGCTGCCCACTGCTCTGCCGGAGAGGTTTTCTGCCAGTCACCCGAAATGCTGCAGCTTCTCGCGACCCATGGCATCACGAAAGCACCCAGAAGCGAGCATGCAGGGAGCTTCATGCCTACAACCACGGAGGAGTGAAACGAAATCGCTCAATGTTGCTTGCAGAGCACTCGAGCCTCTAGTCCTGCCTGTCGCAGCACCGCGGCAATTGCTGAATCCTAAAGAGAAAGCGTCCCAAACGAGGAGGAAACCCAGTTGAAGAATCCGGTTCAAGACAGCTCGGGCCTAAACCATCTAAGCAAAACCCTAAACCCTAAACCGGGAACCTAAAATCCTAAACCCAAAGCCCTAAAAAAGTCCTAGACTTGAACCTAAGGCCTTTTTGCTAAAATCCAACAGCCCCTAAAGCCCTAGACCCCTACGCCCCTCCACCTCCCGCCGCAGCTTCGGCTTCGCCCGATCTACCCGCGGCAGAGCTCGGAGAGCCTCGGACGAGGCGTGGGCTGAACTCCGCAGATACTCCAAAACCCCTTATTTCAGGAATATACCTATATCATTTCCCCACTCTCGGTGTGGGGTTCCTAAATTTACAAGCCGGCTATTGCTCCCGCCCGCTCCTCGTCCGCTCCTCCCGGGAATGCCCAACCCCAGAGATTACCATGAGACTCCCTGGAGTGCCCAACCCTACAAACTGCCATGAGACTCCCCGGAGTGCTCAACCCACAGACTGCCGTGAGACTCCGCGGAGTGCCCAACCCCAGAGACTACCGTGACTCGCTGGAGTGCCCCTCAAGCCTTAAACTAAACCCAAGCCCGAAGCACCAAGCCCCCAAGCCTTCAACACCCAAGCCCTACAAAAGCACATGGGCCGCAACGCCTAAACTAAACCCTTAGCCCCTGGCCCCAAGCTTTAAACCCCTAAACCATAAGACTCCGACGCCCGAAACCCTAAGCTACTAGAACCCACACCCCTAACCCCAAACGGGTCTGTGGCTCCTCAGCACGAAAACCCAAGCCCTCGAACCCCGAACACTCTGATCGCTGTCTCAAAATATCTCCCACGCATCGGCATCTCTATGTGTCTTCCTCTTTCGGGATCATGTAGGTCACACACCCACACTATACATCCTGTACAGACAGAATGCCCGCAGGTGAATTCCACAATGCTAAACAGTTCGAAATACAGTAGGACCTCCAGACACTACGGCCTGCATTCCGCGAGCTCACCGCTCTGATGCTAGCGAGATGTCGTCGAAGAAAGATATCCATTCCAGGAGCTCAACGCTCGGATGCTGGCGAGATATCGTCGAATACACATATCCTCGCCATTCTTCCGATCATCGAAGAGATCGAGACGAAGAGCGTGCACCTAAGACATAACACAGGAAGACTTCTGCGAGCTACCGACCTGGGCGAGGACATGGCCGCGGACGGGAAGGACTCTTACCGTGTACTCGATTAACCAACGTATCACGGCCAACACCGATCGAAGAGGAGGGCCTGGATCTGGAAACCTCGGGATGCATTCATGCTTGTCCTTCTACGAAATCGTCTACGGAGTCGCCCTGACACCTTTGCCGCATTCATTGCCACAAAGAAGCCTTTTGGCCACCCGATTGGCCAGCCGTACTCGGAGGATTTGGGCAAATGCCTCTGCCGGAAGACCATGGTTTCTGGGATGGATTCTCTCGGCCGGCCACAACACCGACCGTGGAATCGCAGCATCCCAGTCGGATCCTCCGTCTTCCATAACCTCGGGCAAAGCAAAGTAAACAACATCCAAAGTAAGTCTCGTCAAGCAAGGAAAATGAGGCCAGGAAGCAGAGTCCCGCTCAGTGCTAGGCTCGATGACTCGTTCGTAGCCAATGCAACTGAGCACAATACTGAGCACAGACATGCCGCACATGAACAAGGAGAGTAAGCTCAGGAATTGGAAACAGTGAAGCACGGCAACAAATGCAGTCCAGGCGCTGCCCATGTCATCGACCCCAGCGCCTGCAAAATAACCACGATTACAATGAGGAACATGGTGAGGATCGTGATGAGGACGGGCACGCAACACATGGTTCATCAATCAGTGCCACAGCCCTGCACGTCCTACAACGATTCGACGACACATGCTCATACTGCCGGCAAGTTAGAACCTATGCTGGATGATGCCAATCCTGGAGGTCTACGCCTGCAGGTCGGCTGTGATCAAGAACTGTTCGGGCAACAACCACTAAGACCAACTTACAGCCAAGCAACTGGCCAGGCAGTTGTCCTTTACGGCGCATTTCACAACGTGCAATCCAGGCAGCTGCTACCTAAGCGGGATATTCTGATGCCAAACAAGCAGGTGAACATGAAATGACCAAAGCAGGACAGCACATACCAGACTGACCAAGGCAAGCAACATCATGTCCGCTTCACCCAGATCCAAGATCCAAGTCATGAAAATCAGCGTCCGGATCTGGACACTGCTGCAATTGCATCACATGGTTCATGGCATGGTTCGTGGCGGCGATCGATGGCCAGGAACGGCAGCTACAAGTCTAGTGTGCCAACGCGGATGGCCAGGACGCTTTCAAATTCAGATGGCCAGAGTGACCATAAGTGGTTTGACTTCCATGCGCTTAGTGTGACTCCAATGCGCCTCCGTGTGACTACACCGACTGCTTCTTCCCTTGGGCACTTCCGACCGCAGCAAGAGATCCAAGACAGAGGCATGGGCTCAACAGGGTCTCAACAAACAAGTGCCTCTGGAGCGAAGCCGCCGTCACCTTGCTCACGAGCTCTTCTGAGAAGATCGTCCTTGACCGGCGAGAAGGCAAACAATACTTTTATTAGGATGCGACGAAAGCAAGAGCGCCTTCTCCACACCACTGGAGCGTGCCCATTCATCCGCCGGGCTAGGTAATTCCACGAGGATGTCACGGATGATGTCATGGTGCCCTACCTGTTTCTTAGAGTGGAACTGCCCAGAAGAAACTGTTGACGAGGTAAATGTGTAGTAATCTGGGCGGGGCAACGAAGCCAGCACCAAACACAAACACATTCGCTACGCGCTGCACCGCCGGGGCACGGTGCCTCCCCGCCCTGTAGGTGCGGTAGAAAACGCTCCAGCCCATGGCATAAACCCCAATGCCACAGGAGGCGGGAGAAACGTGTCGGGGGCTGACAGCTTCGCTGTGTCGGATGAACTGCATGATGATGTGTTCGCTTTTAGCTGATACTCCCCTGTCAAGACAATGTGCATGATTTTTCACATTCAAAACACACACACACACACACACACACACGCACGCACGCACACACACACACACACACATCCACACATCGCACTTCAATCTTCATGCTATGTGATCAACCATGGGCTCATCCGACGGGCCTAATGCCTGCCGGCGGGCCCAGCTCAGCACACAACGTACATCACATGTGTCCTACGTTACCTCCCTTCAAGCACGGTAGTCTCGAGTGCTGGGACTGAG